GACTTCCAGCCATCGTGGCCTTCAGGACAGGAGCAAACTTTGCCACATGTGACCCCGCTCCAGAGTTTCCCATGGATCAATGGCCCGAGTGCAGCAGGCGTGGATTGAGGCACACAGGGCTCCAGCTCACGAGATGCCCGCTCCTACGGGCTATGCCCACTGGGCATGAGTGGCGCTTTCTTTCTTTTTTTTTTTTTTTATTATACTTTTAAGGTCTTCTAGGGTACATGTGCATAACGTCGCAGGTTTGTCTACGATATGTGTATTTTGCCATGTTGGTGTGCTGCACCCATCAACTCGTCCCAGACCCATCAACTGTCATTTTACATCAGGGTATAACTCCCAATGCAATCCCTCCCCCTCCCCCTCCCTCCTCCCCCATGATGAGGCCCCGGTGTGTGATGTTCCCCTTCCCGAGTCAGTGGATCGTATTGTTCAGTTCCCACCGTGAGTGAGAACATGCGTTTCTTACCCCACGGCCTGACTCCTCACTCGCTGCCACGCCCTCGCCCCAGCTGTGTCATACCTTTTTTCGCTGTGCTCTATGGCCGTCCCTATCCACAGGCCACACCTGTCCCGAGAGTGTTGGGAAGAGGTACCCGCACTCCCTTCCCACCCTCCTTCCTCCTTCCATGGCCAATGAACGATGCATCACCTTCTGAGAAGCCTCCCTTGGACCCCGGAAATATCAGTCTCTGGCCTTCCACACATGGCTGGCACCACTGGGGCCTCACCGCAGGCCTCGTTCCAATCCCCAGCTGCTGTTGGTTTCCCTGGCCCCTTTGGCATTCAAGCAGCAGACACAAGCATGCCAGGTAGTACAGGCTCAAGATATTTGGAAGTTCAGAGACACGCCCTCCCCAGCCTTCCTGGCTAGTTTCCAAGTATATGTCTCCGTATACAATCAGTGCTCAATCAATGCCTGCCACCTGGTGGCCTGAGCTCCTTAGGGAAGCATGGGGCCTCGGGTCGGCTTCCCTGGAAGCAGAGGCTGAGGCGCGGATGCAGGTGTCCATGGTGGTGCTATCTGGAGAGGGATGAGGAGTAAGGCAGGCGAAGGAAGGGGGATCTCCATGGAGCCAAGCACTACAGGCTGGGGGCGAGGGTGGGCAAGGCGAGTGAGGAGTCAGGCAAGTGGGGTAAGAAAGCATGTTCTCACTCACAGGTGGGAACTGAACAATGAGATCACTTGGACTCGGGAAGGGGAACATCACACACCGGGGCCTATCATGGGGCAGAGGGAGAGGCGGGAGGGAGTTGCATTTGGGTTATACTGATGTAAATGACGGTTGGATGGGTGCGACGAGTTTGGATGGGTGCAGCACACCCCAACATGGCTAAAGATATACATATGTACACAACAACCCTGCACGTCTATGCACATGATACCCTAGACTTAAAGCAGTTTCTAGGATTGAAGAAACAAAGCTAAGGAAAATCAAACAGAAAGCTCCCCCACTCATGTGGCCAGGGACAGTAGCCCGCAGAGCTGGTGAGCTGTGTTGTGTGGGCATTCCGGAAGCTGCGGTGGGAGCCCTTGTGTGCTCAACTCACCCTGCACTCGGCATGACTCCATGGGGACTCTGGAGCGTGCACTTGTGGGCAAAGGTTCTGTCCTGTCCTTGGAGGCACGATGGCTGGAAGTCTGATCCCTATTCCACAGCGCCACACCGTCCCGTGATGGAGGTGTTGTGAAGTAACTCCTCACTCCCTTCCCACCCTCTCTTCCTCTTTTCCACAGCCAATGAAACTCGATGCATCACCCTTCTGAGAAGCCATCCCTTGGACCCCGAGATATCCGTCTCTAGGCTTCCCACATGGTGGGCACCCACTGCGGCCTCACGCAGCTCGTTTCCAATCCGCCAGCTGCTGTTGGTTTCCCTGGCCTCTTTGGCATTCAAGCAGCAGACACAAGCATGCCAGGTAGTACAGGCTCAAGATATGTCCACTGAATAAGTGAATGACAGCTGCTAAAGCTAACACACATTCATTCATTCAGCCCATCACAACTGAGCCCCTACCACATCCTTGGTGCCGTGTGGATGGACAGGTTAGCGCAGGGACAGGCGGTGCTTAGAAAGGGCTCGTGCAGGACTCCGATGGCTCACCCTGGGTGGAAGCGTGTGTTCTATGGTTGCTATATGCAGGGCCCTGTGCTGAGAACCTGATAGGCAGCTTCTCACTGAGTTCCTATAATGGTTCTATGGGAAAGGTGATCTTATAGACCCATTTTATGGGTGAGGAAACTGAAGTTTACAGAGGTGAAGTGAGTTTCCCAGGACGAAGACAGTTTGAATATCCTGGGTCTGACTCCAGACCATGTCCTTTAACTAGAAGGGGATCTGACTGTGCCCTTCGACAGTGGGTGACCTGCTAAGTGCAAAGTGAGGACAATGAAATAGCTACACCCTCATGGTGGTGGGGGTGGTGAGGGCGAGGCAATGGTACCTGGATAGCTGGGTCCAGGACCTGGCCAGAGTTGGTGCTAGGTGTCGAGTGGACAGTATGATGGTATTATTTTGCATTTGGGCACTGAGCATGGATGTCTGGGATGGGAAGATGCCTTAGGAGGGCAGGGGGTGGAAACCAGGGGAGGATCGCACTCTTTCTGTCCCTTGAGAATGTTCCCTGTATATCACAGAATGGTTTCCCAAGTTGGGAGCAAGTAGAGAAGGCAGAGTCAGAATTCAACATAGCTTGTCTCCGAATTGGACATGGGGACTGGGGAAGAAGGGATCCCTGTTCCTGGATGTCTGGGACAGAGACCCGAGGAGAGGGTCACAGGGGTCAGTAGGTCCAGCCTAGGATGGTGGTGTAGTCTCTTGCAGGGCAGGGCACAGGGCTGATTTGTAAACTCAACTCAACTCAACTCAAAGAGTGAGCCCCGGTGACTGCTCCTGTGTCCCTCTTCCTGCCAGGGCTGGGACGAGGTGGAATTGTGATGCCCACTTGACTGATGAGGACTATGAAGCTCAGGGCAGGATGGGAGCTCGGGACCTCACATTCTCACCTAAGACTCTTCCAGCTCCCTCGACAGTATGGGGGGAAACCGCTCCTATGATTAATTATCTCCCACCGGGTCCCTCCCAAAACATGTGGGATTTGTGGGAGCTACAATTCAAGATGAGATTTGGGTGAGGACACAGCCAAACCATATCAGGACCCAAGTCCAGTTCTGTTCATGAACTGGTCCTGCCTGCAGGGGGGCCTTTAAGCAGAGCAATGGCGCAGCCAGGAACTCCCAGGATGGCTTTGATGTCAAATATTCCCTGCCTCTATCCCGATTCTTTATTCAAAGCATGTAGTCTCTGTATTATCTGTACATGTTTTAGAACCCCAAAGCTCTAAAGCCCCGCTCCTTTCTGTTGATTTCCAGAGGATGAAGCCCCATTCCTTCCAAGTGGCTACCCTGGGATCAGCCACCAGAGGCTAAACTTCAGAAAAAGACTGCAGAGAAGGGCTACAGGTAGGGGAGGACATCTGGTAAACAGGGAACAACTAAGTGGAAATATATTCAGCCTTAATTAATACTGAAAACAAAACAAAACACATAAGTTCAGTAATACTTGCCCATTAAACCAACAAAAGTAAGTACAATTGTTAAAACTAATGATTGCAGGGTTGTAGAGAACCTGGTGAAATAGCTTATTCCTCCCATATAACAGGAAGGAACCTGAGACTCAGTGAGATGAAGAGGTTCTTCACAGTCACTCCTGATGGGACCTATGAAGTCTGGGACAAAACCCAGGAACCCTGATGCCAGGCCTCAGTTCCTAAGTCTACATTATAGCCTGTGTTCTTTGAAGACACATAGGTTATATCCAAAAGCTGATGTTTTTCTCTTATGCCTTTTTAACCCCCTTGGGTGACACCAGCCTAAGTTTTAGAAACTGCCCTCCCCAAGAAGAAAGATCGATACTGTCTTGGTGATGCTCTCTAATAACAGTTTTTAATACGGTACTTCCAGAGGCTGGATTTGATGTTCTCTTTTGCAAAAGTCACCTAACTTTTCTGAGTTTCAGTTTCCTTATCTGTAAAATGAGGACAAAGACCCCCAAGTTTCTCCTTTACCTGCCAATGTGTAAGGTCCCTTCCTGTTTGGTTTATATCCAGGCTATGTAGCACCCTGTTTGTCCCCAAAGGCCTTTGTAAACAGAATCCCATGGTGACACTGAGTATCACAGACTCCAGGCTCTGAAGAGGAAGTTTGGAGTTAATGTGGTCCCAGCAACGCTGCTACAGGGGGAATCAGATCCAGAGAGGAGATGGGACGTACGTGAAGCCACCTCTGCCATCAATGTGTCATTTTCTCAACCCTGCTGGTTCTCAAGGGAGGGCAATTTTGTGCATGCATGTGCACCCCCGCCCCCAACACACACCCCACCTGGGACACCTGACAATGTCTGGAGACTTCTGGCTATCACAACTTGGGGATGGGGCACTCCTAGCATTTAGCAGGTAGAGGCCAGGGATGCTGCTAAACATCCTGCAATGCACGGGGCAGCCCGTGTGGCTAAGGCTGATCCAGCCCCACAAGTCCATAGTGCCGAGGCTGAGAGCAGACCCTAATCCTTACCATGCCTGGCTCACCACCTCCTTCCCTAGACCCTTGGATCTCTGAAAGGAAAAGACTCTACCTGCCTGGTTCTCTGTCACCTCCCCAGAGCCCACCCCAGGACCTGCACACAGCGGTGCTCAACACAGATCAGCAAACCAGGACTCAGCCAGGTCTTCAGAAGCACAGCCCAGGACTTTCGACCCTTCTCAGTCTTACGCGTGTTTTCTGTTCATTTCAAATAGACCTTCCTCCAGAATCTATCTGGATAACCTCTCTGAATCCTTCATGATGAGCCTGGCCATCGCCTCCTGTGGGAAGCCGTCTGTGATAACCCCAGGCTTCAAGGGGAGTTGGACACGGAGACCACAGCTCCTGTGCCCGCTTCCTGTGCAGCACCTATCATCCTGGCTTGAGTTTGTCTGTTTTCCCTTCTCTCTCCATCACTCCTGCAACCCAAGAAAGGAAAGACTCTACCTTTTCCATCTCCATGTAGTGATGCTTGGCATATAGTAGGTGCTCAATAAATAAGACATGAACACATATATCTTGCTCTTCTTCAATCTATTTTGCATTTAACAATGGGAATGACCTTTCAAATGACACGATCAGATCATGAAACTCCCTGATAAAAATTCTACAGTGACTTCCTATTGCACTTACAAGAAATCCCAGAGTCCTCTCCCGGGTCTTGCCGACTCTCAGGCCTCGTCTCCCTGCGCCTCGCAAATTCACAGTCCCCCAGCCTCCACTCCCCAACACATCCAGCAGAGGCCACCCTGGGGCTCCTGCACCCGCTGTCCCAGACATCTGCAGTGCATGGTCCTGCTCTTCTCATGGCTGCTGCCTTCTCTGCCTGTGGGTCTCAACTTGAGTCCTGCTGTCTCAGAGACCTCCCTGGTGACCCCATTTACAGAAGCCCCCTCTAAGTTTCTATGAGAAACCTCATTTGCTCTCTCTTCAAAGCACTGCTATGTGATGTTTATTTCTTATCTTCCTTGTTTATTTCTTATCTTCCCCTCCCAGTCAGAATGAAATTCCATGAGAATAAGGATCTCTCTCTCTTTTTGCATTTCAATAGCTGTAGTGGGTGAAACGGTGGCTCCCAAAGAGATACGTTCAAGTGCGAGTCACTGGAACCTGTGAGCATGACATTTGGAGAAAGGGCCTCTGCGGGTGAAATTGTTGAGGATCTCTACATGAGATCATCCTGGATTAGGGTGCGCCCTAAACCTGATGACAGGTGTCGTCATAGGAAAAGGAGAGGGACATGTGAGATACAAGGGGACACAGGGAGGAAGGCCCTATGGAAGTGGAGGCAGAGGCTGGACGGTCGCAGCTCTGAGCCCAGGAACACTCAGCACTGCCAGCAGCCGGCAGGAGCCAGGAGCGGGCCTGGGGCGGCTTCCCCCTCAGAGCCTCCAGGAAGAGCCAAGCCTGCCCATAATTTGATTTCAGATTTCTGGCCTCCAGAGCAGCGAGAGGATGCCCTTCTGGTGTTTTGAGCCATGAAGCATGCAGAAATTTGCTATGGCAGCCACAGGAAACTAAAGCCGTGCTTCCTGCCCTTAGATATAATAGATCCTCAATAAATAGTGTTGGACAATAATCTGAATCCTACTAACTGCCTCGCAGGGCCCCAGGTGTACACGGGGACTGAGCATTAACTCTGGGAGCACCTCACTCTCCTTACCAGACCCCTACCCTCAGCCCAGACCCCCACTCTCAGCCCAGGCCCCCTACCCTCATCCAGATCCCCACTCTCAGTCCACACCCCAACTCTCAGCCCAGACCCCACTCTCAGGCAGCATCTCACCAGCCACCATCGGTAGGTGTCGTCCTCCAAGAGCGCATTCTGGGCGGTCAGCAGCGGCTGCACAGTCTGGTTGAACCTCTCGTCGAACCAGACCGAGAGCTTGCGCTGCCCGATGCAGTGGGTGCAGGTGCAGGGCCTGTGCTTGATCAGCCTCTTCAGGTTCTCGGAGAGCTCCAGGACCATCTGCTTGGGGAACCAGGTGGTGGCCACCATGGTGTGGGAGTAGTTCAGGAAGAAGGAGGTGAGGAAGATGAAGAGCACGAGGAAGGTGAGCACTTTCAGGGTCCTCTTCCGCAGGGTCACCATCTTCGCAGCCCTGATGGCGGCCTCCCACGATGGGTAGCAGAACTCCCTCCTAAGAGAGGAGAAAAACGGAAGAAAAATCCCAGAGGTGGAGGCTCAATCAGAAGGGATGGCGGGAATTCCAAGGGAGGACACAAGGGCCGCTAAGGTCGACTTCACTCCCGCTGGGGGATGACCCCCCACTGTGTCCCAGACACCGCTGTGTGGTAGACCAAGGCCATTCGTGACATGTTGGCTTTGCTTGCATATATTTACCTTTTCAGAAAATAAAGTAGCCTATTCTTCTGCGATCCTTAAAGAGCTGATAATGTCTCCTGATCAAGCTTTAACCAGTGATTTCCTTTCCCATCCAAACAAGATAAGGGGTCATTAATCGCTGTGACAGTCCAGGGTCCCTCAGGAGCAAGGACCTCGAAGGAAGGGTCTTGGTATAGTGGGGAGGGAAGCTGTCTCTGCCGTCCTCCTCCAACTGTGGTTTCTGATGATCCTTAATTAGGGCTTTTTCTTTCTCATGCTCTCGCCAGAGACACGGTGGGTATGCAACCAGCTTGATGAAGGCACAGAAGGTTGTCTGTCATCTGCAAAGAAAAGGAGGAAGAAAACAGGGTGAGATTCTGTGATCCTGCTATAAAAAATGTTTCTCTCCACATCTCCACCAGGATGCATTCCGTGGTCTTCCTTCTGGTGTCATGCCAACCTGGCAGGTGGCTCCGGATGGTTTATCTACCTTTGTGAGCCTCAGTGCGTGCATACAATGGATGTTATCATCTCTTTGCAAGGTTACTATGGGATGCAGAAAGTGTTCCCTCCATGCTTCCAACAACAAGAACCTAGCACACTGACACACTCAACAAACGTTTGTAAAAGAGCTCATGACGCATGTAGGTACAATATACACAGGGATTGTTAAATAAATGTTATTTGCTTTCTCTCTACTTCATTCTCTTCCAGATTTTGGATTTCAGCAACAAGCACAACAACAATGGTATGCTTAGAGAGTGACCCAGGGTTCCTTTTACCCGGGCCATTCAAGCTCTGCCAACTGGCCTTACTTCCATAGAAGGGGCTTTAGACAGTCCAAGTTTAAGCTCTGATTTCCCATCTGTGGAGCCTTGGGAAAGTTATTCAACCTTCCTGACCCTCAGTTTCTTCTTCTGTAAAGTGGGATATTAACACCCCTACTTATAGAATGGTTATGAAGATAAGATAAAATGATGTATGCTGGGCTTCTGGTATCTATTAGGCCATTGCTGAACTTTAATTTTCCTTCTTTAGTCGGGCGCGGTGGCTCACGCCTGTAATCCCAGCACTCTGGGAGGCCGAGGCAGGCGGATCAGAGGTCAGGAGATCGAGACCATCCTGGTTAACACGGTGAAACCCCATCCCTACTAAAAAAAAATGCAAAAATTATCCGGGCATAGTGGCGAGTACCTGCAGTCCCAGCTACTTGGGAGGCTGAGGCAGGAGAATCCCTTGAACCTGGGAGGCAGAGCTTGCAGTGAGCCGAGATTGCACCACTGCACTCCAGCCTGGGCAACAGTGCAAGACTCCATCTCAAAAAAAAAAAATCCTTCTTCAGCACATGAATGAATCAATATTCTTTGATGATCCACTAAGAGCTGAGAGCATGAGATATTCATGCATACGTATCTCTTCAGATAATCCTCGGAATATACTGCCAGCTAGATACTAGTTTCCCTTTTTGTCTTGAAGAAACTCTCAGAGTTTCTCAGAAGAAACTGAGACTCTCCCTAAGGAGAGTGTCTCAGAAGAAACTGAGACTCAAAGAGGTTAGATGACTTGCCTATAGAAAGGAAGGAGCAGGATCTGAGTCCAAATCCACAGTCCTCTGATTCCTTGCATCTGGAGGGGTTAGGGTTAGGGTTACTATGGTCCCCTCTTAGGGGACCAAGAACAGGGGGTTGAGGGCTCTACCCTGGAGCAGACACCTGTCTTGTTAATTGTTCTTCAGATTACTACAGCTGGAGGGATATAGAGCAAGGGGGGAATATTCTTTTGAAGAAAGCAAACAGGTACCTCTCAAATGCCCATCAGAGACCCCCCTGGCTCTCACCGACACCCTGGGATTTCTGTATGATACAACTGAGGTTACACCTCTGCCCTGGAGCATGGTCTCTTTGGTCTTTGCTTGGAATGCTGAAGAATGGAAGGAATCTGATCAATTCCTCCCCATCCTTAAGGTGTAGATTGCCAATAAGCAGGATATTTTTTTTTTCCAGGAAAATTAGAGTTGAAAGGAGATTGATAACCTTTTGGTAGAAAGGGGGGCAGCTCAAAAAACCATATTAAATCCACAGTGCCTCTCTGGAGACATCCAGGGTCCAAGATACATAGGGTGCAACCCTCTACAGCTTCCAGAAGTAGAAGCCCAATGTACGGAGGATAAGGTCAGAGCTCTGCAGCTCAGTCGGCAATGTCATTTTTATCCGGCCCCTGCTCCAATTTTCACTTTTCTTTTTTTTTTTTTTTTTTTGAGATGGAGTCTCGCTCTGCCGTTCAGGCTGGAGTGCAGTGGCCGGATCTCAGCTCACTGCAAGCTCCGCCTCCCGGGTTGACGCCATTCTCCTGCCTCAGCCTCCCGAGTAGCTGGGACTACAGGCGCCCGCCACCTCGCCCGGCTAGTTTTTTTGTATTTTTTTAGTAGAGACGGGGTTTCACCGTGTTAGTCAGGATGGTCTCGATCTCCTGACCTCGTGATCCGCCCGTCTCGGCCTCCCAAAGTGCTGGGATTACAGGCTTGAGCCACTGCGCCCGGCCCAATTTTCACTTTTCATGAGAATCTAGATTTTGTTTATAACCTAGTGGTGTCCACAGGTGTCCCATCCAATTCTCTCCCCACCTGCCCCCATCAAGGAGCAGTTCTGTAATTTGAGTAAGAATAACTTCTGCACCATCACAGGTAGGCTCACAATTCACTTGACTGGCAGAGGGTTCCCACCTCTTACCCCAGTAATTGATCCAGGGATGGGCATATGCCTTAATTTATCCAGTCCAGCTTCTGTAGGGAGGGAAGAAACTCTTTTGCTCTGGTTGGCTTGTTGCTGACATGTGGAACATCCTGCTGGCTATTTTGCTAGCTTGTGTAGAAGAGACTAGAGCTGAACAACCTGAACAAATGGTGCTAAATCCTTGATTCTGTTCAACCTGCAGTCCCACCCTCATCTTGACTTTTCAGATACATGAGGGGATGCGTCCCCTTCATGGGATAAAGTAGATTATTTGTAACGTCAAGCAACATGACTGACCCACAGGTCACAGTTGCTCCTACCTCTGTGCCCCCGCTCAGGCTGTTCCCACTGCCCAGAAAACCACCTCTACCCTGTGTGGCCGATGGTTCTTACTTATTCTCTAGGGCTCAGCTGGTGCCGACTCCTGGAGGAAGCCCTGTCCACTCCTGGAGTGAGTTAGGGGCCTCTCCTGGCTCCCCAAGGTCCTGGCTGCACTCTGTCTGCACTCTTCACACATATGTCTCCTCCCTGGACGGGGAGCAATGTGAGGATGGAAACTCAGCCTCGCTATGGCAGTGACCCTGTCACCCGTGCACACACTCAATGCTCAGTGGAGGCTTGGGTCATGAAGGAACCCAGAAATGAATGGAGGGAAACAAAACAGCCAACAGTCCAGAGGGAGATCTGAGAAAGAAAGCACAGATTCCGAGTCAGATTTCCATTCTCAGCAGCCTGTCCCACTCTACTCGCTGTGTGACTACGAACAAGTCACCTAGCCCTTCTGAACCATCCCTTCAATGGGAAAAAGGGATTGATAACACAAATTCTGCTAATTTCTCAAGGCTGCCAACCCATCAAGGTTGTCCATTCATCTCATTCATCGACTGCATATTTGCTGGTCCTTGCATTCTCCAGGCCCTGGACAAGGTGGCTGGGGTACATCGTAAAGGGATCTAAGGTAGGGGCCTCCCAGGCATCAATAGGGCCCCAGATCCTTTGGAACAAAGGAGGCCAGTATGCCTGGATCAGACACAGGCTGGAGGAGAGGAGTGGATGGGGGGTGAAAGGGAATCTGGGCATGCAGCTGGGGTGAGAGTACGTTGGGCCAGAGAAGGCACAGTCAAGACTAAGTTCTCTCTGGGTTAGTGGGTTTCTCTGGAAACCCGCTGGTGGGGCTGAGCAGAGGAATGCCATGGTCTTATTACATTAGCCTTTACAATGAACAGGGCCTAGGGCACCCTTGCCTTTAGTGTTTCTGCACCCCTAATGCCAGGGCAGAGATGAGTTCTCTGAAATAGATGACTGTTGAACCGTGTTGATCAAACAAGGCTATGGATGAGAGGTCATGTTTCCTACAATGCCCTGCCTCTGCATGAGAGATATGAATGCTCTAGGCTGCTGCTAGGGGTTGGATGAGAGGCAGGGCAGAGAGCAAGGTTGTGCTGCACAGGCTGTGGGACTGTGACAGCCTCCTCTCCTCTGGGGCATCCTGCAGCCACACCTCCAAGGCCAGGGCACTCCCCATAACCATTAGAGGCTTCCGAGCTGGTATCATTTAGTGCTTTCCAAAGCCCTGGATAAAACTGCAATGGAAAAGCAAGAACGCCGCCCCACCCCTTCCCTGGCTGCAGGGAAGAAACAGGACTGCATGTCTTCTCTGTGCTCTAGCAAGTGTGGGGCAGCCCGCAGGCATGGGGGAATGCCAGCCCTGGCTCCTAGAAATGAAACCTGGGTCAAGACGCCACAGACCAAAGATCTGTGCATGCCAAGTGTGTGGTGAGGGAGGCCTGGCCTCCCAGAACAAGGAGAAAGAAGAGAGGGAGCAGGGAAGGATGGGGAAGGAGGGAAGCTGGCTTCCTGTCCTCTGCCAAATGGCAGTCATTTCCCAGCCACATGCTCAATACGAGGAGGCATGAAGCACCTGCACACAACAGAGCTTAGTGGGGTCACCAGCATAAGACTGACAAATGTCAGCACACTTTTGACGACTGGAAAGTAAGAATTTCCATACGGAGAGTACCTAATGAAGATAAACTCCTCTGGCAATAGGGAGTTGAGGGGCAATGCCCAGAGACTGAGAGAACTGTGTGGAACTCCTGCAAACACGGATGAATGAACTGCATGGGGTTTTGAACCTGTAGTAAATACCCGCTGAACGGGATGGTAGTAAATACTCATCACAGGCTGGGATGCCCTCCCAGCCCTTCACACAGCCCCTGGCACTATGGTCACCAGAGAAGAGGTGTGCCTGAGTGAACTGTGCAGGCTGTTGGCAAAGTTGACACTTTCAATACACAGTAGCCACAGCTTTCCCCATGTGATCCCCAAGCCACCGGGAGAGGTGAGTAACCCTTAGGCTTGTCTCCCTGAAACCGAGAGAAGGCAAGTGACTTATCCAAGGTCACACAGCAAAATGGTGGCAAAGCCAGACTCCTGCCTTCTCCTGTGGCTTTCTATGTAGCCATGGCTCATCGTTCAATTCCATCAATACCTGCTCTTATCTGCCCTATCTCCCCCATTCCCTTTCTGATAACTTCTTTGGACTTGGTTTACTGTCATCCCTCCAGCCTCTTATGTTGGATACTACCTTGTTTACCTTCCCTTCTTGC